TTTTTCTTTTTGCTTATATGGTGCTGAGGAATTGAACTCAGGGCCTCAGGCATGCAAGGCAAGCGCTCTACCACTGAGCCACCTTCCCAGCCCCCCCTATGGTTATTTTTGAAATGAGGTCTTATATTTTTTGGCGCAGACAAGTTTGGACTATAGTCCTCCTATTTATACTTCCAACTGGAGTGGGAGTGGCAGGCATGTCAGCTTTGTTGTTGTTGTTGGGATAGGGTCTTAACTTTTGTTTCCTTCTCAGCTAGCCTAGAACATTTCCACCTCTCTGAGTATCTAGGACTACAGGTGTAAGCCACTGCACTGCACACATATATCCATTGTTTCATTTTTCTTTCTGACAGGGTATTCTATAACCTCAGTGTACCAGAGTTGGTTTTATTATTTATTTATTTATTTATTTTGGTCGGTCATGGGGCCTGAACTCTGGGCCTGGGCGCTGTCCCTCAGCTCTTCAGCTCAAGGCGAGCGCTCTACCACTTGAGCTACAGCGCCACTTGCGTTTTTCTGGTGGTTTATTGGAGATAGGAGTCTCACGGTCTCTCCTGCCCGGGCTGGCTTTGAACCGCGATCCTCAGATCTCAGCCTCCTGAGTAGCTAGGATTACAGGCCTGAGCCACCAGCATCGGGCTCTAGAGTTGGTTTTAAACGATGAACTAGGGACCAAGGGTCATTTTCCTCCACGTGCATTTTTGACGGTACCAGCATCCGTAGCTGCGAAGTGGTCTTCACTGTAGCTGGCTGCCTCGGTGATCTGTCTCAAAAGACAAGTGGGAGTTTCCTTCCTCTTTAGGCTGTGCATAGGATTAGCATCAAATTGGGGAACTGATAGGCTCCCACTTCATTTTTTATGAATTCCCTTGGCTATTTTCCTTGTGTAAATTTCACAGTCAACCTGCTAACACTTTTTTTTTTTTAATCCTGTTGGAAATTGCATTCTGATTGCGTTGGTTCTAAAGAATGACTTGAGTCAGATCTTGGTGGCTCACACCTGTAATCCTAGCTGAGATCTGAGGGTCACAGTTCAAACCCCCAGCCCATGTAGGAAAGTCCCCATGAGACTCTTGTCTTCCATGAACCACGCAAAAACCAGAGTGGCGCTGTGGCTCAAGTGGTAGAGCGCTAACCTTGAGCACAAAGAGGCTCAGGGACAGCGTCCAGGCCCTGAGTTCAAGCTCCACAACCAACCAAGAAAAGAAAAGAAAAACAAAGTGACCTGAAGTGAATAGACATTCTGTTAATACTGAGTCATGCAGCCCAGAAATAGTTCTCTTCTCTCCCGCCCCCTTTCCACTTTCCAGCACCCTGGGGTAGAACCCGGGGTCTTGCACATGGTAGGTGAGGGCTTTACCTTGCAGCTACATACTTTTCCGGCAGAGTGTATTAGTGACATCCACTTCTGGTAGAGTGTAGTTAGCATTCCGTCGCTGTGACAAATGCTTGAGTGTTGGACGCTGCTGCTGTGTCTCTCAGGAACTCAAGAGTCCAGGGAGCGGAGGGCTCCCTTTGGGCCATGGAGTCCCCTGGCTGCTCCCGTGACCAGTGGGTGAGCTTTGGCGCCTGGTATTCAGAATTCCCCCCTGGATACAGGGGCCAACTAGCACGTTTGCTCCATCCCGCCTCAGGGCTTTCTCTTGAGTAAGCGCAGCCCCTCTGATCTGTGTCCTAACCCAGGAAATGTTGGCCCCAGGTCTGGACGGGAGTCTGGCTTTGTACAGTGTCTGCCACGCACACCTGGTTAGCCGTGCAGATCTGTTAGAATTCCCGCCCCAGTCCCCCTCCCCCACTTCTCTCTCCATACCATTTTTTTCCCCTTCTTTTTCTAATGGTACTGAGGTTTGAACTCAAGATCTCAAACTTGCTAGGCAGGTGCTCTACCACTCAATCCATCCATGTTCCTAGCCCCTTTGGCTCTGGTTCTTTTTGAGATAGGCTTTTACTTTTTTTTTGGCCGTAGCCAGTATGGATTTCAATCCTCTTGTTTATACATCCTGGGTGATAGGCAAATACCATTTTTCAGGTCTTGAAAACTTTTTTTGGTGCTGGTGCTGGGCACTGTCCTTGAGCTATACTCTTCCACCCCTCTTTAAAGCTAGCGCTATACCACTTGAGCCACAGCTCCAGTTCTGGGTTATTTGGTGTTTAATTGGCAGTAAGAGTCTCACAGACTTTCCTGCCCAAGCTGGCCTCAAACTGTGATCCTCAGATCTCAGCCTCCTGTGTAGCTAGGATTACAGGTGTGAGCCACTGGCACCCAACTTGAAAACTTTTTTTTTTTTTTTTCAGGCTTGAGGCTTGAACTCTGGGTCTGGGTGCTGCCCCTCAGCTCTTCAGCTCAAGGCTAGCGCTGTACCACTTGAGCCACAGCTCCACTTCTGGTTTTCTTCTGGTTCATTGGAGATAAGAGTCTCACAG